CGCGCCAAAAGATTTGCACATGCATGCTTCCCAACACTCGAACGGAACTGATGCTTGCCACATCCGCTGCTTGTAGTACTCGACATGATGCTCTGGACAGGTAGTGCCATCATAGAGAGAAGTGAAACGTCGGCAGCGACAATCTTCTAGGGATGCGAGCTCTGGACAATTCGGGGTGTTGCCGCAAATCCGTCGGGAGCCTCTCTTTGGACTAGGATCGGGTCACTTAGCATCCTCTTCATCATGGTCAGCACTCTAAAATTCTGCTTCTCTAGGACGGCTAGCCTTTGTACTAAGAGTTCAGTCTGGTTCGGCTCACGGTCATTAGGCTAACGCTCGTTCTCTAGAGTCTGAAAGCTTCCTTGTTGTCCGTTGTTCAAGATTTGGGCATCAGCATCCATTTCGTCGCCGCTTGTCGCTATATCGGTATCATGCGGGGAGTCTAGCACTTCCAAGGGATGCATACGCGGTATGATTTCCAGTTTCCTTGGGCATCGACGATGGTTGCTCTGGGCGGACTCTAGCTATTGTCGAAGGGTAGTTGCATCAAATGCTGACACTTCTTTTTCACGGCTAAGGCGTTCGTTGGATTCTTGGGCCTGCAAGGAGATCGACCTTGGCTTTCTCATAGGCCTCTCTCAGCTGCTCGGGGGCCATATCACCAGGTTCCATCACGAACCTCTCTCAGCTACTCGGGGTCATATCACCAGCTGCTCGTTGGATTCTTGGGCTGCAAGGAGATCGACCTTGGCTTTCTCATAGGCCTCTCTCAGCTGCTCGGGGGTCATATCACCAGGTTCCATCACGAAGGTTGGGTTTGGGTTTGCAGGGTTTTGAGGGTTTTACCTAGTTGTATCCCCACAGACGGCGCCAAATTGTTTATGCTAAATTTCGTTAAGTGGGATTGAATAGCAAAATTTAGGTTACGAATCAACTAAATAAAACCTTAAATGAAAGCGATAACAAAATAAAGAAAAACAAAAGGAATTGGTGACGCGAAAAACCCAAAGAAGGTAAAAACCGCGGGTAGAATGAGGATCTACCAAACTTTCACTATGTAAAATATCGAACAAAAGGGATTACAATGTATGATCAATGTGATTTTAGTAGCTAGGTTGCAATGTGTCTAATGTCGATGGTTCCTTTCCCTTATATAGATGATGCCTAGGGTTTAATGTGGCCGTTGTAGAATAATAAGATGCTTCCCTTGATATCCGGAACTATCTCCTTGACTCACGGCACTTAGCTTAGCCCAATAACGGTTTGATTTTACTGATGGGAAACCTAGTCTTTCCAGCTTATCGCTCCCTAGAAAATAGGGGAGTTGTTATCTTTGCTTCGTCCGCCGAGTCTGGGCTCAGTCGTCGATCTTCGCTCTTCGTCGTTGACCCTTGCTGACTTATGCTTACTTTGACTTACTAAAATTTACCCATAACAAGATAAATTAATTTTTTGTGTAATTGAAGAATAATATAATTAGAGGAACCAAGAGACACAAATGAAGAGACAAATATGAAAAACTAACCATTTTATTTTTTAAGGGATTGAAAGCGTTTGGGATAACAATGCATCTTGTGTAAGACTGGACATACTATGTGGCCGGTTGTAAAAGAACAAAGTAACCCCTACATAACATTAACAGAGTTACCTCTATAACACTAACAAATTAAACCCATAATAATCGATCACACGGTGTGAGCATGTGGTCAGTCACGTATGAAAATTTGTGTTGGGATAAAGAAGAGGTTATTCAATTTCATTTTTGTTTCAACTAAAATGTAAATAAAAAATACTTCCTATAAACTAGTAAAACTTGAATTTTTACCATTTGAAACAGAGAGGTCGGGTGAAACTAAAAGTCTAAGTGAAGCAGTTAACTGAGAAGTGAGTTTGGAAGATGAACGGAGGAAAAGAAGCAAAATTATGGCCGGCGATAGGAATCGATCTCGGAACCACTTACACATGCGTCGGAGCATGGTCCCCACAACAAGACCGCGTTGAGATAATCACCAATGAATTAGGCAACCGTACGACGCCGTCTTGGGTCGCATTCAACGATACGCAGCGTCTCGTTGGCGAGGCTGCCACCAACCAAGCCGGGAATAATCCTACCAACACCATTTTTGGTTTTTTTTCTTTTTCCCTCTTCTTTTATGCTTTAAAGTTTTGTGCTTTATCATTTTTTTTTTCCTTATTTTGAAAACCCTCAAAAATAGTAATATTGTAATTTTGTATACCCTTTATTTTAGAATAACAAAATGTATTTGGATGAATTTGATTTCTTCTTGTATTATAGATGTTGTATGGAAAAATTAAGAATATTGTTGAGATTATCCTATTATTGCTGTTTTACTACATAGTTTAAGAAAGAAGCACAAAAAATATTTTGGGTCATCTTGTTTTGGATCATTACTCTTTTGGGTCGAATTGGAAGTAATGGTGATAGATTATTTGGAGATGTTCGGAAAATAAATGTCTTGTTTATTGAAATAGAAAGCTCAATTAAAGTAGTGAAGTGAGGTTGGGAAGGAGATAAGTGTTATTAAGGTTATGTTAACTTTAGCAGTTAAAAGAGTATAGTTTGAAGCTAAATCGTAATAAATTTGCTCCATTTTAAATGATGTATGAATTGGTCGGGAAACACTTTTAAGTATTTCTTCTTTAAGATGATTATAAAATAGAGCTTTTTTATGAAAGAAATTTTACTGTGAAGTTAGTGGCTTGTTATGTGAGCATAGTACAAAGTATTGAATATCGAAATTGTCTCGTGTCAAACTGGCTGTCTTCTTAGGCTTTTGGTCTTGAATTTGATATTGTAAACAATTAAGATTAAACAAACTCATAAGTTTTCAATTAAGGAAAGGGCAGTAAAGATCAAACACTTGAATATAAGATGTGATCAGATTTTTGTTTCTGAGCTAGCAGTCGCTGTGCTTAGTTAGCTATAATATGTAATCATAATTTGCAAGTGTCTTGTAAAATTTGTCAACTCGTCTTGAACTTTTTTCTGCCATGTTATTTGCAACTTACATTTGAAGAGGGAACATGTTTTGTGTAATTAGCCATTGCTATTTGTATTAGTCACTTTGTGACAGTAACTTCAGTTGGTATTATAATTTTAGATACTATTGGAATCCAGTGACGGGATTTGATTTATTTTGGAGATGATGATGAGATCCTTTTTTTTTTTTATCTTTAATTTCGTAGATGCTAAGAGGCTTATAGGTAGAAAATTCAGCGATGAAATGGTACAAAAAGACATTAAGCTCTGGCCATTCGAAGTGATTCCTACTGCTGATGGAGAGGATTTCAAGAAGCTTATAATTGTAGTTACTTACAAGGGTGAAGAGAAACAATTTGCTCCAGAGGAGATATCCTCAATGCTTCTCATGAAGATGAAACAGATATCAGAGGCGTATCTTGGTTCAGAAGTTAAGAATGCTGTTGTTACTGTTCCTGCCTACTTCAATGATGCCCAGCGGCAAGCAACTAAAGATGCTGGTGTCATTGCTGGCCTGAATGTTATGAGGATAATTAATGAGCCAACCGCAGCTGCCATTGCATATGGTCTTGATAGGCAAGGTACTAGCAGTGATGTGACAAAGAATATTTTTGGTTTTTGACCTTGGTGGTGGAACTTTTGATGTCTCTTTGGTCGCAATCAAGAAGGGTGTTTTCGAAGTAAAAGCTGTTAGTGGGGATACCCACCTTGGTGGAAGAGATTTTGACAATCGATTGTTAAGCCATTTTATTGCTGAGTTTGAGAGGAAACACAAGAAAGATTTAAGTGACAATCGTAGGGCTGTTGGAAGGCTGAGAGCTGCTTGTGAGAAGGCTAAGAGACTCCTTTCTTCAACTACAGAGACTACTATTGAGATTGATTGCCTTTTTGAGGCAGTAGATTTCTCTTGTAGCATTACTCGTGCCCGATTTGAAAAGATGAATATGGATTTGTTCCAAGATTGTATGTTACCTGTTCAAATGTGTTTGAGAGATGCCAAGATGGAAAAGAGTGAAATTCATGATGTTGTTCTTGTGGGTGGGTCAACCCGAATACCAAAGATTCAGCAATTGTTGCAAGATTTTTTCGATGGAAAGGAGCTTTGTAAAAGTATTAACCCAGATGAGGCCGTGGCGTGTGGAGCTGCTTTTCACGCTGCAATCTTGGCTGGTGTAGGTAGTAATAAGAACTCTGTGCTTGTGGATGTTACTCCTCTGTCCCTTGGTATGCAATTATACTTTGGTAACATGAAAGTAATAATTCCTCGGAATACGTCAGTCCCAACGAAGATGATCAGCAGAGTTAGTACTGCGGTTGACTACCAGAAAACTGTACAATTTCCAGTATATGAGGGTGAGAGACCCATTGCTAATGAAAACAACTTATTGGGCCAATTTTCTCTGCATATCCCTCCAGCACCTCAAGGCGTCCCTCAGTTTGATGTCTGTTTTCAACATTGATGTTGATGGCATTTTAACTGTGTCTGCAGAGCTTGTTGGCACAAACAACAAGGACCAAATCACCATCGCCAATCACAGTGGGAGGTTATCAAAGGAATCGATTGGCAAGATGATGAAGTCTGCCCAAAAGTATAAGGCTGAGGATGAGGAGCGCAAGAAGGCAGCCATGGTTAAAAACAAGTTGGAGAATTATATATACGAGGTTAAGGGAACCTTAAGAGGTAGTGGAACGAAGATGAATAACAAGGACAAGAGAAAAGTGGGTGATGCCATTGAGAAGATAACCCAGTGGCTGGAGTGGAACTATTTGCTTGCTGAAGCTGTCAAGTTTGAGGAGAAAATAGAAGAACTTAAAAGCATCTGCAAACCTATGTTCGCAAAGATGCACCAGCAGGAGGATGGTACTCCTAAGGCTACCCGTGGTTGCTCCAAGATTGAGATTATAGAACTCGATTAAGCTTTAATCATATAGCGAACCTGATCACAACTATTTTGTCATTAGTCTTTTAGTACAAGTGATCCATTAGGCAGATATGAATATGGCTGTTGATTTTATCAGCAAGTGCCTGTACAGAATGTTCCCACCTGAGTACTTGCAGTTCTCATGTATGCCTTGCTTTGCTATGATATGCTTGCTCATTTTTTGAGCTTGCACCCTGATTTAGAGGCTGTTTGCTTACATAACTGTCTGCTTGTCATTATTATACCTGAAACTGAAAGTTTAAAAATAAGATAAAAGCTAATAATGTCCGCTTCAGTCTCAAAATGCTCCTCTCCATTTTATTCATTTTTCCCTTAAAAATTGGGTTAATTGAATGGCAGGTAAATCGGAATATGCGTATATGCAATTTAGTATTAATTTTTTTTTCTCTATACAGTAGGGATGGCAATGGGTCCAAGGCAACACATGAGTATTTGTCCGCTGTCATTCTCGTTGTCTTTTCTATTACCTGTTTCTAGCAATTTTTGAATCTCTAATCAATAAAGGAGCAGCAGTGACTCTTCAAAGGTAAGAATAATAAAAATTGATATAATCTGCTGGGTTTGGAAATAAGCAGTCAGACCCTCTAATTACAATGTTCAGAATGCTTTGAATGAACTTCATTTTCCCTGCTAAATTATAACACCCTGTTTGTGCAGCTGATCATTTTTGATACTTTGCTTTTGGAAATGTAGTCTTCCTTTTTGCAACGAGCATCCAGCCGTCCTAGGCCTTCAAGTCATAGCCTCATAGGCATGGACCAAGCATTGGAAACTCATTTATTTTTGGACGAGATGACAGCAATAGCTGGAGCTCAATGACTTTGCTGACTCCCTCAATCTGGTAAGCTTAATTCACAAGTCATTGTAACTATTAAAGGGAGCATCTATTCTCAGTTTTAAGCTAACTACAGTCCTTAACTTTTTATCCACACTAAAGCATACAAGTTCCCTACTTACAATTAAATTCAAGTGAGACTAATAATGAATTCTGGATTGATGTCCCCATATCTAAAGTCTGGTGTGTATGTTACTATGATTCTTCATTTCACCGTAATTGCCTATCTTGGATCCTTGAAACTCGGTTGTAGGCTAAATAATAGAAAAAATGACTTTGTTCCCTTATTGACTTATTAAAAGAACAAGGACAGAATTTGGTAAAATGTAACCATCATACACGTATGTATGTTAAACTAACCTGAAAAAATACATTAGTTCTAATTATTTGCTATTAGACTGCCTCAAATTCGACGTAATTTGGAATAAAGACCTGTTCAACTTTCACCTGCTGTAACTGATAACAATTTTATCACAATCTATGCATAAACCAAAGTATTGTATGTTTATACTAGCTAAAAGACGCAGCTAATTAAATTAAAAAAACTACGGATTTGTGTTACTAGATAAATTCCATTAGGCAGATATGCAGTTCTTGTGTATGCCTTCTTTGCTATAATAAGCTTGCTCTCATCTTTAGCTTGCACCATGATTTGGAGGCTGTTTGCCTAAATAGCTGTTTGCTTGTCATTTTGTTGTTCCTGAAGCTGAAAGTTTAAAAATAAGCTAAAGCTTATAAAGTCCAGCTTCTGTCTCAAAAAGCTCCCTCCATTTATTCTTTATTCCCTTAAAAATTTGGGTGATTGAATGTCTGGTAAAATGAGGTATGCATCTACGCAATTTGCACTAATTTTTCTCTTTAGACTTTAGAGTAGGAATGGCAATAGGTGCAAGACTTGATCTAGACCTGATTAGACTTGATCCATCTTTTTGGGTTTGGATCCAAAGAATTTAGACCCAACAGGTCTAGGTTTGTATGCTCTAACAATTACAGACCCAAATCCTATTTGACCTGATCCATGGACTCGCTTGATCCAAAAAACCTAAAGAGTAATTAAAAGAAAATAGTGTAGGGAAATAGATTGTTAAAATTTGGTGTGACTGTGAGTTGTAACTCGTAGTACGAGTGTTTTGACACCAGATCCGTGTGCGTGCACACCCTTGTCTATTGGCGATGAGGGCGCTAGCTAAGTGTGGAAAGGGCTCCTAAGCATGGAGCAACACAAGCTGGAGACAAGTCTGATGTGCACTCTTGCCTATTGGTGATAGAGTGGAGTCAAAGGTTGATCGAGGCTTGTGACTGCAAGCAGTTTGAGGTGGGCACAAACGGGTCTGATGACTAATTTTACTTGTTTTAGAGTCTCTTTGGATTTTTTTTTTTTTTTTTTTTTGTTATTTGGGTGGTTTATAACTTGTAATATCAGACACAGTCTTTGGTGTAGGCCATCCTTTCACCGCCTCAATCTTTGCTGGATCTACTTCTACTCCATCCTTGGAACCAAATGACCCAGAAATGCTACCTTCTCCAACCAAAACTCACATTTAGAAAACTTCGCATAAAGTTTGTTCTCCCTTAAGGTTTGTAGAATTGCCCGCAAATGTTCTACATGTTCCTCTTTATTCTCAATGTGAGTTTCTTTCTCTTTGTTGCTTTTTGTTGGTGATGTATATTTAGGTTGTGATTTGGGACTTGTCTGGTTTGGATAGTGTTTTCAAAATTCTTTAGTTTTGAGGGAAAGGGTGATCGGGTTGGCTAAAGAGATGAAGAGGTTATATGATATTGTGAATAATAATGAAGCTAATATGAATACCGCGACGAGACAGTTTATAACTATGAAGAAACAGTTTGACGATGCGGCTAAGAAGGTGATCGAACTAGAAAGTCGGTTTAGAGGAGCAAGCAAAAAAGATGAGGAGCAAGCAAAAAAGGTGGATGAGAAAGCCCAACAGCTGAAGGACCAAGCCAAGAAACAGAAGGAACAAGCCCAGCAATTGGAGGACAAGGTTGTGGTTATACAAGATCGAGATGAAGCTTTGTCAAAGGTGAAAGAAGAGTTGTCGACAGTTAAAAGGACTTGGACGACGCTTTAGATGAGAGTGTTAAATTGGAGATCAAGCTTAGGGTTTAGCTGATGAAGGAGTACCTAGATGGGAAGGCTACAAAGTGGCGTCTGCAGGAAGAAATTGATCATTTCTTGGCCAACGAGGGACTATTGTCGAGCTGGAGAAGATGCTGTAATTGTTTCGACTGCGAAGTCGGAACCTCATACGTCGAATGTTGTTCCTCCTACCACTAACAAAGCTTCGGCACAACCAACGATTGGTGAAGGTGTTGGAGACAATGCCCCTATCGACAAGATCATAAAATATGTCGTCGAAAGAGTGAATGCTAATGGCGAAGCTAATGCTTGAAGGCCATTGCTTGTGATGGTTTCTTTTGCTATGTATTTATGCTTTTGTTTTGCACTTTGATACTTTAGTTTTTCACTTGGATGTTTTCGTCATGGCTTTTGAATATTTTTGTTTGGATATTATTGTCTTTTTTTTCCACTTGATGGCAAGTGGTTCTTGAAGCTGATGGCGAAGCTGATGCTTGAAAGCCATTGCTTGTGCTGGTTTCTTTTGCTATGTATTTATGCTTTTGTTTTGCACTTTGATACTTTAGTTTTTCACTTGGATGTTTTCGTCATTGCTTTTAAATATTTTTGTTTGGATATCATTGTCTTTTGTTCCACTTGATGGCAAGTGGTTCTTTTGAACACTGTTATGACTTTTGTCATAGCTTTGCACGTAGTATTTTCCCTTTGTCTCGTCTGTTACTATTGCTTGCATGTGTTATAACTTTGTTCTGTGAACAGTGTGCAAAACGTAAGATCAATTTTGAACAAAATTTAAAAACCTGAAGAACACTTATATGAAATTTAGTTGAATCATAAAATGAAAATACTGGAAAGAGCGAACATTTGATAAAGCAAATGGTTAAAGGAGTAAATTCATTGATGCATAAGAATTGAAAAAACTTATTAATTTTATTCAATTGTCATTGTACAAAGTATTCATCGAAGGCTTTATGTAGCATATGTATACTCGAGTTTTGGCCTTCATTGTTTGCCAATGCCCTTGCGCCCCAGCGTCGACGCTGAACACTGAAGACTAAGTTCGTAGTTTAGGTATCAGGTGTGGCGTCGGACGCTAAGGTCAATTTGCCCGGGCTTCGTTTCGTCATAATGTTTTCGTTTGACCGGCGGCTTTCCTCATCCCTTTGAAGGATGTCAGTGTAGCCAACATCTATCTTTTTGTCATTTGTCGTGATTTTTGGTCATGACCTGAGTTCTTTGTTTCGTCGCTTGTGTTTCGTCGATCGTTGTACTACAAAACCAACATGGTTAGAGTACCAATGGCCGTTGGCTCGGCAACGACCCTCTGATGCTTAAGTCAGAACTCGTAGTGAAAAATAGATAATCAAATGTAAGTAAATCAAATGTGAGATCGGAGGCGTTACCTACGTCAGCGGACACTTTTTGATATTCTAAAAGTAATAGTTTCACAGATGAGTTGTGTTCCAACTTCTTGGAAACAGGTTTACCTTCCTTGTCGTATAATCGATAAGCGTCATTGCCAATGACTTGGGTGATCAGGTACGGGCCTTCCAATAGGGGAGCTAGCTTTCCGTCGGCGGGGTCTTTTGCATTCTGAAACGCTTTTCTTAGCACCTAGTCGCATAGATGGAACGCCTTTGCTTTGACTTTTTTGTTGAAGCTTCTGGCGACGATTTGCTGTTATGCTGCCATCTTGATTAGGGCTGCTTCACGCATCTCTTCGACTGCGTCTAAGTTGCTTTCCATTTCTTCTTAATTTCTTTTTTCCGCATCAAGCCAAATCGAGACGTAAGGAAATCGACTTCTACTGGGAGGACGACTTCACATCCGTAGATGAGGGAGAAAGGCGTATGTCTTGTCACGGACCTTGGAGTTGTCCTATTAGCCCACAGAACGGATGGGAGCTCGTCGGCCCACCTGCGGCCTTTACTTCTTTAACCTTTTCTTGATGGCATTCATGACGACCTTATTGCTGGATTCTGCCTGTCCGTTGGCTTGGGGATATCTTGGTGTCGATGTCCTTAGCTCTATTCGGAATTTCCTGCAAAATGAACGAGTTTTGTCACTAATAAACTGTGATCCGTTGCAAGAGACTATCACCGACGGAATGCGAACCTGCAAATAATGTTAGTTCATAAAAAACAAATTCTTTTGTCCGTCACCTGCTTCAAGGAAATTGCCTCGATCCATTTAGAGAAATAATATGTTAGTGCTAGCATGTAAACTTTTTTGTCCTAGTGCAGTAGGTAGCTTTCCGACGATGTACATTCCCCATCTCATGAAAGGCCATGAAGATAAGGTTTGGTGCAAGGATTCCGACGTTTGTGAACCGTATTGGAGAATCGTTGACAGCTATCACATTTGGCAACGTACTGGATGGCGTCTTCGTGGAGTGTTGGCCAGAAGTATCCTTGTCCACCTGCAAGGGTTCCGACGGTTTGTGAACTGTATCCCTTAGTACACTGTAAAAACGTTCCGTATCCACACCAGTCGTTGTCGTTGTAGGTGTCATCAACGGGAAGGATTACTTTTGTGGATACGGAACGTTTTTGCAGGTGGACTAAGGGAATCGATGTAAAGGTGGTCTTTTTTAGCACGGAGGTTAAGTTTGCAAGTGCATCGGCTTAGGAGTTTTGGTCTCTTGGGATTTATTGGATTGTGAAGGGGTTGAAGTGTTTTGATTTTTCTTTGGCTACTTCGAGGTAGGCTGGCATTTTTGGAGTCTTTTTCTGTAAAGTCTCTTGTCATCTAGCTGACGATGAGGAGAGAGTCATTGTATACGTTTAGGGATGTTGCCCCCAGATCTTTGGCGACGATCATTCCTGCAATTAGTGCTTCTTATTCTGCTTCGTTGTTCGTTGCTTTGAAATCGCAAGATATAAATCGCACTATCATGTCCCCTTGTGGCGACTTTAGCACCATTTCTAGGACAGCTCCTCGTTAATTGGACAATCTGTCGACAAACAGGATCCACTTGCTTTCTTTTTCAACGTTGTTTATTTCTTCCACTTCCTTGTCATCTGTGGCTTGCCGATCGGGGCTAAAGTCAGCCAAAAAATCAGCCAATGCCTGTGACTTTATTGCTCTTCGAGGTTGGTACTCAATGTCGAACGTGCTTAGTGAAATACTCCATTTGCCCATACGTTCTGTTAACTCTGGTTTGCTCAAAACAGACTTGATAGGATAATTTGTCATCACCACTACGTGGTGGGTTTCAAAATAATGCCTTAATTTTTTAACAGTAGTAACTAAAGCAAGAACGAGTTTTTCAAGAGATGAATACCTTACCTCGGCTGGGAGTAATGCTTTACTTACTTAGTAAATTGGTAACTGCCCGGCGTCGTCGTCTTCCCTAGTCAGGACAGCACTGACGGCGAAATATATAGCTGCAAAGATTCGTTAAGTTTTGGTTTCGACAGGAGTGGTGGCGTCATTAAATATGCCTTTAAATCCTACAATGCTTTCTCGTGATCGTCAGTCCATTCAAAGCCTTTATTTTTCGTAAAACATTGTAAAAGAGATGGCATTTGTCTGACGATCGAGAGATAAAGCGATTTACGCTGACACTCATCCTGCCAATTTATGGGTTTCCTTAATGTTTTGGGGGATAAAATATTTATTAAGGCCCAGAATTGGTCGGGATTGGCTTCAATTCCCCTTTGCGTTACGACATAACCAACAAATTCACCAGCAGATACTTCGAAAGAACATTTAGTAGGGTTAAGTTTCAATACCATACTTTCACATAACCTTAAATATCTGACGAAGGTGGTCGACGTGATCTTCTGATTTCTTGGGTTTAACTAGAATGTCGTCAATGTATAGTACACCTCCATTGTGTCGCCTAACTGGTCCTTGAACATTTTGTTGACGAGTCTCTGATACGTCGAACTTGCATTCTTTAGACCAAAAGGCATAACTTTAATAACAATATATACCTCTATTCGTCATGAAGGCCGTCTTTTCCTGATCGTCGGGATGCATGAGCATTTGATTGTATCTGGAGTAGGTGTCCATGAACGTCAAGAGCTCATGACTTGCTATTGCGTCTACCATGGCGTCGATGTGTGGCAATAGGAATGGATCTTTGGGGCATGCTTTATTGAGATCGGTGAAGCCGATACATATGATAGGCTAAATTCTTATCACCTAATCAAAAGTAATTCCTAAAACCACTAACTAAAATTGATAGGGAAGTAAGGTCGAATCCACAAGCAAACAACGTTCTTCTATTCCTAATTAATTATTATAATCTAAATTATTAAGAAACAAATAAGGTTTGTATGAATTAATCTAAGGAATAATTAATAATAAAAAGCCTAGGGTCACAGGTTCACCAATAATTAATACTCAAGGATAAAACATAACAAACAACGATTAATATTACAAACATAACATGATTAACAGGCTCTCGCAATTTATTAATCAAACATAGATCTAACAGGCTCTCGAAATTTACTAGTTCTAAGTTCATATTGAAATAGTCTTTAATATCACATCTGCTCGATTCATCAATTCAATATTACTATACTCTTACAATCAAATCACATCTGCTCGATTCATAATCCAGTTGTAAAGAATTAAAACAATTCAATAAGATTTATCATGCAATATCAATAATCAACCAAAAACAATTCATCCCTTCATATTTGTTATGGCTCCCCCAAGAACCCTAGAAATTAACTACGCACACATATTTAAATATAAACTAATCAAAGCATATATAAAAGACATGATTAAAATCAAAGCACAAAAATCTAAAGCAATTAAAATCCAAGCGATGAACAAAGCAATAAAGAGATGAGAAATAATACCGAATAAAGGAAATATGAAATTGCACTAAAAGGGGAAAACTTGAGTTAAACAATAATCCCTCACTAAAATCTCTCTAAAAGCTTAAGAATGAAAATTGTAATCTAAAAACATAGCTAATAAAGCTTACAAAAAGAGTTTAAATACTAAACCCCAAAAATAACTAAAATGATAAGTCTAAATGTCTCTGGAAATACTCGCGCCCGATCGGGCCCGCCTTTTTCTTCACACAGCTTTCTGGGCATCCGCCGATCGGGCCCGGTCTTTTTTCTAGGCCGAGTTTTTCCTTCTTCTTTTTTTCCTTTCGGCTCCAAACATTTATGGCCCAAATTTACTCCTTCCTTGGTTTCATTACTTAGACCAATTCCACGAACCAAGCCATTAGTCACCAAAATAATGGGTCTTAGGCTACAAACGACGGTCATGAATGTGACCATAGCTTCGATATCTCGTAGTGGCCGGAAAACCATAGAAATCACCAACAAATCGGGGAAATTCCTACAAAAATAAATGCCAACTCTACAAAAACACTCGAAACCACACATTAGTACTAAAAATAGCCCTGAAGAGCTCAGATATGCATAAAAATGGCCGTGGGACGAGGGATAAAAATAGAATATAAAACACATATATCAGCATACTCTCCACTTGCCATTTTTCTTGCTGACGACGACGGCATTTCCGAGCCAATCTGGATATTTCACTTCTCTTATTTTCCCTGTATTGATCAGCTGTTGTACTTCATCGTTGATGATTTTGTTTCGTTCTATCGGCAAACTTTCCACACTTCTGCTTTACGGGCTTGTGATTCAGATCAACGTTTAGCTTGTGCGAGATGACAATTGGATCTATGCCTGTCATATCTTCAATGCGACCACACGAAACAATCTTTATTCTCTCGAAGAAAGGCTAGGATAGTATTTTTGAGTTTCGGCGGTTAAGTTGGCTCCGACACGGACGATTTGATCTGGTTTTTTAGGGTCCAGAGGTATTTCGTCAATATCTAGGTCGTTAGGATTGTCTGGTGTCGCGCCTTGCTGTAATTGCTAGGTGGATTTCTTGCACGGTTTCAAGGTTTTTTTTGTAGCAGTTTTTGGCTTCACGGGGTTCTCCTTTAATTTCTTGGATTCCCTAGGGGGTTGGAAATTTGAGAGTTTGATGGTAGGTGGAAGGGATGGCTTTTAGTTTGTAAATCCAGGGTCTGCCATGATGGCATTATAGGCTGAGGGGAAATCTACGACGTTGAATTTGGTTTTGAGGGTTTAGGCCGCTAGCAAAGGTGGGTAGGGTTATGTCTCCGAGAGTTGACATCGTTTTCGCCGCTGAAACCCGACCAATACTGTTGATCTTTCTGGTGATGTCACTATCTTTCAGCCCCATTTCTTCCATGGTCTTCCGGATAGAACATTTGCGGAGCTTCCTCCATCGACCAACACCCTTTTAAGCAAACAATTCCCAACCATCAATGAAAATTACCAGAGAGTCTTCATGCTCTTTGGTGATGTTGTTGATGTCATCATCGTCAAAAGTGATGGCCATTGCTTCGAGCTTTTTTCTCCAAAGGATCTCTTGGTTCTTCTGGGACGGCAGGATCACTCGTCGACGTCTTTGCAATTCTTTTAGCTGTAGAATAGGTTAGACTACAAATATCTAAACCACCAGAAATAACATAAATTACTACCGTAGGTGCGAGTGGTTTGGGAGGCTTGTTCGTCGAATCGGCTTTGGCGTCACTGCCTTTCTTCTTTCCCATCAGATGCTTGAGGTTTGCCTCTCTTTCAGCTAGAAGGCCACTTCTCTTCTCAAAACATAGCAATCTTCCGTTTTATGCCAATGGTCACTATGGAACTCGCACCATTTGCTCATATCTTTCTTTGAATCTGGCTTATAACTCTTCATCGGTCAACGGACTTTGCTTCCCAGTGGCTCCAGCGCATTCACCACTGCTACTACGTCGAAGTCGAACCCATACTCTGATATCTTAGGGTATTCCGATGCATCGGCAACCTGTCTTTCCTGCACATTATTAACAGACCGTGAATCTACCTGAGGTTTCGGAGGGCTGTGTCGCCATGATCCACGCTGGCTTACTTTGAACCTGATGGTGTGGCTGGAGCTACGATTGGCGATGTCCTCGTCGAAGCGCATTTGCGCCACTGCTCTCGTCCGGAACCCTTCAAATGTTGAGTAGGGGGTACTTGACCATGTCTTTGAAAAGATCGGAGTCAGTATGCAGTCCACGAAGGAAGGCTTCAATGGCAATCTTGTTTATCGACGTTCTTGATGGAGACCTTCTCCTTGTTGAATCTGGTCCAATAGGTCCTGATGCTCTCTTTTGGTCCTTGGACGATTCAGTACAAATCGCTTGTTTGCTTGTCAAACTACCTGCTGCTTTCAAAATAGGAATAAAACTTGTTAATTGACATAGCAAAGCTAGTGTACTACCTGGTTCGAGTTTGCGGAGCCATTTGAGGGCGGGACTAGTCAGCGTCGCGCCAAAAGATTTGCACATGCATGCTTCCCAACACTCGAACGGAACTGATGCTTGCCACATCCGCTGCTTGTAGTACTCGACATGATGCTCTGGACAGGTAGTGCATCATAGAGAGAAGTGAACGTCGGCAGCGACAATCTTCTAGGGATGCGAGCTCTGGACAATTCGGGGTGTTGCCGCAAATCGTCGGGAGCCTCTCTTTGGACTAGGATCGGGTCACTTAGCATCCTCTTCATCATGGTCAGCACTCTAAAATTCTGCTTCTCTAGGACGGCTAGCCTTTGTACTAAGAGTTCAGTCTGGTTCGGCTCACGGTCATTAGGCTAACGCTCGTTCTCTAGAGTCTGAAAGCTTCCTTGTTGTCCGTTGTTCAAGATTTGGGCATCAGCATCCATTTCGTCGCCGCTTGTCGCTATATCGGTATCATGCGGGGAGTCTAGCACTTCCAAGGGATGCATACGCGGTATGATTTCCAGTTTCCTTGGGCATCGACGATGGTTGCTCTGGGCGGACTCTAGCTATTGTCGAAGGGTAGTTGCATCAAATGCTGACACTTTCTTTTTCACGGCTAAGGCGTTCGTTGGATTCTTGGGCTGCAAGGAGATCGACCTTGGCTTTCTCATAGGCCTCTCTCAGCTGCTCGGGGGCCATATCACCAGGTTCCATCACGAAACCTCTCTCAGCTACTCGGGGGTCATATCACCAGCTGCTCGTTGGATTCTTGGGCTGCAAGGAGATCGACCTTGGCTTTCTCATAGGCCTCTCTCAGCTGCTCGGGGGTCATATCACCAGGTTCCATCACGAAGGTTGGGTTTGGGTTTGCAAGGGTTTTGAGGGTTTTACCTAGTTGTATCCCCACAGACGGCGCCAAATTGTTTATGCTAAATTTCGTTAAGTGGGATTGAATAGCAAATTTAGGTTACGAATCAACTAAATAAAACCTTAAATGAAAGCGATAACAAAATAAAGAAAAACAAAAGGAATTGGTGACGCGAAAAACCCAAAGAAGGTAAAAACCGCGGGTAGAATGAGGATCTACCAAACTTTCACTATGTAAAATATCGAACAAAAGGGATTACAATGTATGATCAATGTGATTTTAGTAGCTAGGTTTGCAATGTGTCTAATGTCGATGGTTCCTTTCCCTTATATAGATGATGCCTAGGGTTTTAAATGTGGCCGTTGTAGAATAATAAGATGCTTCCTTGATATCCGGAACTATCTCCTTGACTCACGGCACTTAGCTTAGCCCAATAACGGTTTGATTTTACTGATGGGAAACCTAGTCTTTCCAGCTTATCGCTCCCTAGAAAATAGGGGAGTTGTTATCTTTGCTTCGTCCGCCGAGTCTGGGCTCAGTCGTCGATCTTCGCTCTTCGTCGTTGACCCTTGCTGACTTATGCTTACTTTGACTTACTAAAATTTACCCATAACAAGATAAATTAATTTTTTGTGTAATTGAAGAATAATATAATTAGAGGAACCAAGAGACACAAATGAAGAGACAAATATGAAAACTAACCATTTTATTTTTTAAGGGATTGAAAGCGTTTGGGATAACAATGCATCTTGTGTAAGACTGGACATACTATGTGGCCGGTTGTAAAAGAACAAAGTAACCCCTACATAACATTAACAGAGTTACCTCTATAACACTAACAAATTAAACCCATAATAATCGATCACACGGTGTGAGCATGTGGTCAGTCACGTATGAAAATTTGTGTTGGGATAAAGAAGAGGTTATTCAATTTCATTTTTGTTTCAACTAAAATGTAAATAAAAAATACTTCCTATAAACTAGTAAAACTTGAATTTTTACCATTTGAAACAGAGAGGTCGGGTGAAACTAAAAGTCTAAGTGAAGCAGTTAACTGAGAAGTGAGTTTGGAAGATGAACGGAGGAAAAGAAGCAAAATTATGGCCGGCGATAGGAATCGATCTCGGAACCACTTACACATGCGTCGGAGCATGGTCCCCACAACAAGACCGCGTTGAGATAATCACCAATGAATTAGGCAACCGTACGACGCCGTCTTGGGTCGCATTCAACGATACGCAGCGTCTCGTTGGCGAGGCTGCCACCAACCAAGCCGGGAATAATCCTACCAACACCATTTTTGGTTTTTTTTCTTTTTCCCTCTTCTTTTATGCTTTAAAGTTTTGTGCTTTATCATTTTTTTTTTCCTTATTTTGAAACCCTCAAAAATAGTAATATTGTAATTTTGTATACCCTTTATTTTAGAATAACAAAATGTATTTGGATGAATTTGATTTCTTCTTGTATTATAGATGTTGTATGGAAAAATTAAGAATATTGTTGAGATTATCCTATTATTGCTGTTTTACTACATAGTTTAAGAAAGAAGCACAAAAAATATTTTGGGTCATCTTGTTTTGGATCATTACTCTTTTGGGTCGAATTGGAAGTAATGGTGATAGATTATTTGGAGATGTTCGGAAAATAAATGTCTTGTTTATTGAAATAGAAAGCTCAATTAAAGTAGTGAAGTGAGGTTGGGAAGGAGATAAGTGTTATTAAGGTTATGTTAACTTTAGCAGTTAAAAGAGTATAGTTTGAAGCTAAATCGTAATAAATTTGCTCCATTTTAAATGATGTATGAATTGGTCGGGAAACACTTTTAAGTATTTCTTCTTTAAGATGATTATAAAATAGAGCTTTTTTATGAAAGAAATTTTACTGTGAAGTTAGTGGCTTGTTATGTGAGCATAGTACAAAGTATTGAATATCGAAATTGTCTCGTGTCAAACTGGCTGTCTTCTTAGGCTTTTGGTCTTGAATTTGATATTGTAAACAATTAAGATTAAACAAACTCATAAGTTTTCAATTAAGGAAAGGGCAGTAAAGATCAAACACTTGAATATAAGATGTGATCAGATTTTTGTTTCTGAGCTAGCAGTCGCTGTGCTTAGTTAGCTATAATATGTAATCATAATTTGCAAGTGTCTTGTAAAATTTGTCAACTCGTCTTGAACTTTTTCTGCCATGTTATTTGCAACTTACATTTGAAGAGGGAACATGTTTTGTGTAATTAGCCATTGCTATTTGTATTAGTCACTTTGTGACAGTAACTTTCAGTTGGTATTATAATTTTAGATACTATTGGAATCCAGTGACGGGATTTGATTTATTTTGGAGATGATGATGAGATCCTTTTTTTTTTTATCTTTAATTTCGTAGATGCTAAGAGGCTTATAGGTAGAAAATTCAGCGATGAAATGGTACAAAAAGACATTAAGCTCTGGCCATTCGAAGTGATTCCTACTGCTGATGGAGAGGATTTCAAGAAGCTTATAATTGTAGTTACTTACAAGGGTGAAGAGAAACAATTTGCTCCAGAGGAGATATCCTCAATGCTTCTCATGAAGATGAAACAGATATCAGAGGCGTATCTTGGTTCAGAAGTTAAGAATGCTGTTGTTACTGTTCCTGCCTACTTCAATGATGCCCAGCGGCAAGCAACTAAAGATGCTGGTGTCATTGCTGGCCTGAATGTTATGAGGATAATTAATGAGCCAACCGCAGCTGCCATTGCATATGGTCTTGATAGGCAAGGTACTAGCAGTGATGTGACAAAGAATATTTTGGTTTTTGACCTTGGTGGTGGAACTTTTGATGTCTCTTTGGTCGCAATCAAGAAGGGTGTTTTCGAAGTAAAAGCTGTTAGTGGGGATACCCACCTTGGTGGAAGAGATTTTGACAATCGATTGTTAAGCCATTTTATTGCTGAGTTTGAGAGGAAACACAAGAAAGATTTAAGTGACAATCGTAGGGCTGTTGGAAGGCTGAGAGCTGCTTGTGAGAAGGCTAAGAGACTCCTTTCTTCAACTACAGAGACTACTATTGAGATTGATTGCCTTTTTGAGGCAGTAGATTTCTCTTGTAGCATTACTCGTGCCCGATTTGAAAAGATGAATATGGATTTGTTCCAAGATTGTATGTTACCTGTTCAAATGTGTTTGAGAGATGCCAAGATGGAAAAGAGTGAAATTCATGATGTTGTTCTTGTGGGTGGGTCAACCCGAATACCAAAGATTCAGCAATTGTTGCAAGATTTTTTCGATGGAAAGGAGCTTTGTAAAAGTATTAACCCAGATGAGGCCGTGGCGTGTGGAGCTGCTTTTCACGCTGCAATCTTGGCTGGTGTAGGTAGTAATAAGAACTCTGTGCTTGTGGATGTTACTCCTCTGTCCCTTGGTATGCAATTATACTTTGGTAACATGAAAGTAATAATTCCTCGGAATACGTCAGTCCCAACGAAGATGATCAGCAGAGTTAGTACTGCGGTTGACTACCAGAAAACTGTACAATTTCCAGTATATGAGGGTGAGAGACCCATTGCTAATGAAAACAACTTATTGGGCCAATTTTCTCTGCATATCCCTCCAGCACCTCAAGGCGTCCCTCAGTTTGATGTCTGTTTCAACATTGATGTTGATGGCATTTTAACTGTGTCTGCAGAGCTTGTTGGCACAAACAACAAGGACCAAATCACCATCGCCAATCACAGTGGGAGGTTATCAAAGGAATCGATTGGCAAGATGATGAAGTCTGCCCAAAAGTATAAGGCTGAGGATGAGGAGCGCAAGAAGGCAGCCATGGTTAAAAACAAGTTGGAGAATTATATATACGAGGTTAAGGGAACCTTAAGAGGTAGTGGAACGAAGATGAATAACAAGGACAAGAGAAAAGTGGGTGATGCCATTGAGAAGATAACCCAGTGGCTGGAGTGGAACTATTTGCTTGCTGAAGCTGTCAAGTTTGAGGAGAAAATAGAAGAACTTAAAAGCATCTGCAAACCTATGTTCGCAAAGATGCACCAGCAGGAGGATGGTACTCCTAAGGCTACCCGTGGTTGCTCCAAGATTGAGATTATAGAACTCGATTAAGCTTTAATCATATAGCGAACCTGATCACAACTATTTTGTCATTAGTCTTTTAGTACAAGTGATCCATTAGGCAGATATGAATATGGCTGTTGATTTTATCAGCAAGTGCCTGTACAGAATGTTCCCACCTGAGTACTTGCAGTTCTCATGTATGCCTTGCTTTGCTATGATATGCTTGCTCATTTTTTGAGCTTGCACCCTGATTTAGAGGCTGTTTGCTTACATAACTGTCTGCTTGTCATTATTATACCTGAAACTGAAAGTTTAAAAATAAGATAAAAGCTAATAATGTCCCGCTTCAGTCTCAAAATGCTCCTCTCCATTTATTCATTTTTCCCTTAAAAATTGGGTTAATTGAATGGCAGGTAAATCGGAATATGCGTATATGCAATTTAGTATTAATTTTTTTTTCTCTATACAGTAGGGATGGCAATGGGTCCAAGGCAACAC